CAGACTAGTATTTATATTACCGGATTAGTATTTATATTACTGAACTAATATTTATATTACCGGACTAGTCTTTATATTACCGGACTAGTATTTATATTACCGGACTAGTATTTATATTACCAGACTAGTCTTTATATCACCGGACTAGTATTTATATTACCAGACTAGTCTTTATATTACCGGACTAGTATTTATATTACTGAACTATACTAGTAAGTGTTTTCATCACTACAGGACTAAACAAAAGACACATCTACACAGTGTTTCTTTTTTTAACCAAAACAATCGTCTGGATTATTATTGGTTATTCAGGTTTCAACACAGTGTGGTAAATTATTTTCAACTGGGCACTCATTGTATTGCTATAAAATGATGGAGAAAAACTTGGCTGAAATGAAAAGCTTCACCAAAACGACGTCTAAACTTCATAAGAATCTTCTAATGGTGTCAGTTTAGACAACGCTGTCGTATTACTTTGTTTTACGTCGGTGACTGAAATCTTAATAAGATTAATGGTAGACATTCTCGACTATCTCGTTATGGATAGACGGAAAATGGTGCACAGCTGAAACATTTTGAGAAGGAAACTCAACATCTAGGGGCAATTAACAGCGAAAACCCCCCAAAAAGTAGTGAATACTGAAGGTATGTACACGTACATTCCAATCTTGGGCAAACTATTGGTTTTTGTGGTTTCTGCTGGATGGACCCTTATGTATCACTGGTTTAGAAAATATTGAAATGTACGATTAATGCAATCAAAGGCATCTGACAGATTGTGCAACTAACGACGAAATATGGATACAGTTCTTTGAACCACAGAACGTCAATTTGAATGAACATGTAAAAATACTTAACACTGTAAAGCGATTTCTGAGAACGAAGATGGTTCACATTATTCATTGAAAAAGATCTGGTAGTCCAAAAAGATACCAACCGCCTCATACTCAGCATTTATCAATCCCCTAAGATAGACTAGTCCAGATATTAATCCCCAAAGTTAGACTAGTCCAGATACTAATCTCCAAAGTAAGACTAGTCCAGATACTAATCCCCAAAGTTAGACTAGTCCAGATACTAATCCCCAAAGTTAGACTAGTCCAGATACTAATCCCCAAAGTTAGACTAGTCCAGATACTAATCCCCAAAGTTAGACTAGTCCAGATACTAATCCCCAAAGTTAGACTAGTCCAGATACTAATCCCCAAAGTTAGACTAGTCCAGATACTAATCCCCAAAGTTAGACTAGTCCAGATACTAATCCCCAAAGTTAGACTAGTCCAGATACTAATCCCCAAAGTTAGACTAGTCCAGATACTAATCCCCAAAGTTAGACTAGTCCAGATACTAATCCCCAAAGTTAGACTAGTCCAGATACTAATCCCCAAAGTTAGACTAGTCCAGATACTAATCCCCAAAGTTAGACTAGTCCAGATACTAATCCCCAAAGTTAGACTAGTCCAGATACTAATCCCCAAAGTTAGACTAGTCCAGATACTAATCCCCAAAGTTAGACTAGTCCAGATACTAATCCCCAAAGTTAGACTAGTCCAGATACTAATCCCCAAAGTTAGACTAGTCCAGATACTAATCCCCAAAGTTAGACTAGTCCAGATACTAATCCCCAAAGTTAGACTAGTCCAGATACTAATCCCCAAAGTTAGACTAGTCCAGATACTAATCCCCAAAGTTAGACTAGTCCAGATACTAATCCCCAAAGTTAGACTAGTCCAGATACTAATCCCCAAAGTTAGACTAGTCCAGATACTAATCCCCAAAGTTAGACTAGTCCAGATACTAATCCCCAAAGTTAGACTAGTCCAGATACTAATCCCCAAAGTTAGACTAGTCCAGATACTAATCCCCAAAGTTAGACTAGTCCAGATACTAATCCCCAAAGTTAGACTAGTCCAGATACTAATCCCCAAAGTTAGACTAGTCCAGATACTTAACCTCAAAGATAGACTAGTCCAGATACTAATCCCCAAAGATAGACTAGTCCAGATACTAAACCGCAAAGATTGACTAGTCCAGATACTAATCCCCAAAGTTAGACTAGTCCATATAGTAAACCTCAAAGATAGACTAGTCCAGATACTAATCCCCAAAGTTAGACTAGTCCAGATCATTATCCCAAAAATTAGACTAGTCCATATACTAATCCCCAAAGATTGACTAGTCCAGATACCAATCCCCAAAGTTAGACTAGTCCAGATAATTATCCCCAAAGTTAGACCAGTCCATATACTAATCCACGAAGTGAGACTAGTCCAGATACTAATCCCCAAAGTTAGACTAGTCCAGATAATGATCCCCAAAGTTAGACTAGCCCAGATACTAATCCCCAAAGTTAGGATAGTCCATATACTAATCCCCAAAGATTGACTAGTCCAGATACTAAACCTCAAAGTTAGACTAGTCCAGATACTAAACCTCAAAGATTGACTAGTCCAGAACCTAATCTCCAAAGTTAGACTTGTCCAGATACTAATCCCCAAAGTGAGACTAGTCCAGATACTTAACCTCAAAGTAAGACTAGTCCAGATAATAATCCCCAAAGTTAGACTAGTCCAGATACTAAACCTCAAAGTTAGACTAGTCGAGATAATTATCCCCAAAGATTGACTAGTCCAGATACTAATCCCCACAGATAGACTAGTCCAGATACTAAACCTCAAAGTTAGACTAGTCGAGATAATTATCCCCAAAGATTGACTAGTCCAGATACTATCCCCAAAGTTAGACTAGTCCAGATACTTAACCTCAAAGTAAGACTAGTCCATACTTAACCTCAAAGTAAGACTAGTCCATACTTAACCTCAAAGTAAGACTAGTCCAGATAATAATCCCCAAAGTTAGACTAGTCCAGATACTAAGCCCCAAAGTTAGACTAGTCCAGATACTAAACGCCAAAGTTAGACTAGTCCAGATACTAATCTCCAAAATTAGACTAGTCCAGATACTAATCCCCAAAGATAGACTAGTCCAGATACCAATCCCCAAAGTTAGACTAGACCAGATAATTATCCCCAAAGTTAGACCAGTCTATATACTAATCCACGAAGTGAGACTAGTCCAGATACTAATCCCCAAAGTGAGACTAGTCCAGATACTTAACCTCAAAGTACGACTAGTCGAGATACTAAACCTCAAAGATTGACTAGTCCAGATAATTATCCCCAAAGTTAGACAAGTCCATATACTAATCCACGAAGTGAGACTAGTCCAGATACTAATCCCCAAAGTGAGACTAGTCCAGATACTTAACCTCAAAGTAAGACTAGTCGAGATACTAAACCTCAAAGATTGACTAGTCCAGAACCTAATCTCCAAAGTTAGACTTGTCCAGATACTAATCCCCAAAGTTAGACTAGCCCAGATACTAATCCCCAAAGTTAGACTAGCCCAGATACTAATCCCCAAAGTTAGACTAGCCCAGATACTAATCCCCAAAGTTAGACTAGTCGAGATACTAATCCCCAAAGTTAGACTAGTCGAGATACTAATCCCCAAAGTTAGACTAGTCCAGATGCTAATCCCCAAAGTTAGACTAGTCCAGATTATAATCCCCAAAGATTGACTAGTCCAGATACTATCCCCAAAGTTAGACTAGTCCAGATACTAAGCCCCAAAGTTAGACTAGTCCAGATACTAATACCCAAAGTTAGACTAGTCCAGATAATTATCCCCAAAGTTAGACTAATCCAGATACTAATCCCCAAAGTTAGACTAGTCCATATACTAAACCTCAAAGTTAGACTAGTCCAGATACTAATCCTCAAAGATTGACTAGTCCAGATACTAATCCCCACAGATAGACTAGACCAGATACTAAACCTCAAAGATTGACTAGTCCAGATAATTATCCCCAAAGTTAGACCAGTCTATATACTAATCCACGAAGTGAGACTAGTCCAGATACTAATCCCCAAAGTTAGACTAGCCCAGATACTAATCCCCAAAATTAGACTAGTCCAGATACTAATCCTCAAAGATTGACTAGTCCAGATACTAATCCCCACAGATAGACTAGACCAGATACTAAACCTCAAAGATTGACTAGTCCAGAACCTAATCTCCAAAGTTAGACTTGTCCAGATACTAATCTTCAAAGTTAGACTAGTATGCAGAGGGGAGAGGTGACCTGAGGTAGTCACAGTTCATAGAGGGGAGAGGTGACCTGAGGTAGTCACAGTTCATAGAGGGGAAATGTGACCTGAGGTAGGCACAGTTCATAGAGGGGAAAGGTGACCTTAGATAGCCACCGTACATATTGTGATATTATATTCCTTTTTGAACTACTTTCACTGTCAGTTTATCGCAGGCCTTTTATTGGTTTGTTCCTGTCACTCCGATGGTACTTTGTAAACATGTATGTCACGCGTGAAATGCATAGGATTTAACTATACATGTGTGCAAACAGATACTAACTCTACCTTTCATATAGCTAGTAATGGTTATTAAGAATGCGAAATAAATGTTATTTAGATGATCACGAATAGATATTGATTTTAAGGAACGAACATAATCTGCATTAATATGATCAATCGTACAAAGGCCCTTGGAAATCATAAAAAGAATCTTTTATCGATTTTTTCCAACATGACATGTTGTCGGTGTTAAATATAAACATTTTATATTTACTGACCAATGATACATCTTTATCTTCATTATATTATATTACATTTTATTTTCTCGATATACCTATGACTTGTAAGAATTTGGAGTGCCTTAATTGTTTCAGCATCTTTATTTCATACCAGTGTCACACACCCTTGTTAGGCATCACCTGTGATAAAATGTGTATAAGCAATTTGCAATTGAAATTGATACAGGCAAAAGTTTTGAAAACCTCACAAAAGGAATCTGTCTCCAGTATTACTGTTTCTGTTCACGACTGTTAAGCACAAAATAACAGTAATGGAAGAACGTTTTGTTTAAAAAGTACAAACAAACTAGAAAATTTCTAATTTCTCTTTTATTATGAAATATTGGACGGAAAACAGAGTTGAGTAAAACAAAAATTGTAAAAGATATTAGAAAAATATTATAATACCATAATATAATATATATGAGACTTTCCTGACATACATGATCTGCTTACACATAGATTCTTGGAATGTTTACTAGTTACAGCAACACCTGACTCTACCAACACCTAGGGAGACTGGACTGCTTGGTCCTATATTGCAGTGTTAGACCAGACAGATTTTGAGGATCCATGCATCACTACAGGCAAGACACTTGAAAATATTAACATAGAGTATAGTCTCCCCGAAATTTCACTTTTGATGAAATAGCAGCGAAACGGTGCCAGGTCACATGGTTAAAGCAACAGTGAAATGACACGGATCCTGAGGTCAGATTCTGATCTATGTCATTGCATGCTCTTTGTTTTTATCAAATTTTCATAGAATTTCCATAAACATACTTTTTTTTGACAGAGAGACAAAATTAAGGATAGGGTTTAATTGCAGGCACCCATCCTGTTCCCAGGACATTTGCCAAAGTGGGGAGGGGACTTATTTGCGGTCACCTACAGTACATGTATGGTTTTCTCTTCAATTTGAATAATGAACTTAATAGTCGTGCTGGCAACTAAGTTTCCAATACCTTGTTATATTGTTCTGCAGTGGTATGGGGATCAAAAGACTGAAAATACTTCTTTTTGTGACACAAAATATAACACCAGGTATCAAAGGTATCGTTCTGAAAGTCAGGTGTTGGTAAATGCAGGTGTCACTGTAATGTGGTCACAAACAAAACCTTAACTCATTCCCCCCTGAAATCGCATAATGAACTATACCAATCTTTGAATTGGACGAGTTCAAATGAGTCTTCAGGGGTGTTTGTACTAATTATGAATGATAAGTTTTGTATCATTGTGACTAGGTCTCATTTTCTTGTGTGTCCGTTTGCTGCGTTTTATTTTGGTCCCTCAGGGTCTTCATGAGATTAACATCCTCTTGGGAATACTTTGGCGTTAATATAACATTATCGTAGTCAAAGTCTCTGTCTAAACTGAACGGTTCCACTTCGTCTGAACACTCCTGGAATGACAAAACCGTACATGTTACGTTACTGACTTCTGTAGCCTGCTGGAACAAGAAAACACATAGTAAATACCGTAGATGTACATACATTAGCAGATTTTTTATTTTAGCACTTTTTCACATTTTAAATGTTGTGCTAAATTATGACTGCGCTAATTGAAATTTCTGTACATAAGTTTCCTATGGAATATAGTGCAAGTATGCCAATTCATCAAAGTGCTTACCCTTTCACCACCGTAGACCATAATGGACTCATCCAGATCAATGCATGGTAGAGTCTACTAAAGTTACATAGGGGTGAAAGGGCTAATCATTTAAAGTTCCATAATATGCTAAAGTTTCAGTTTTGCTAAACTAAGTTAAAGGGGCTGGTCGCGGAAAAAAATACAAAATAAATGGGTCTAAATGCATTCTCTGGCCTTCCAAAAGTTATACCACAGCAATATGATGGTCGAGTTCTGCTTGCAATGTCCAGTTTTGACCACTGAAACCTCGGGGGAAGCCCCACGTAAATTTAGCGCAGATCTATTTATATATGTCACGTGGTTGTTTCGAAAGTGAGGCAGTGAAGATAACAACAATAGCACGCCGTCATGTGCCATGTCAGACTCAACTAGCGGACAAGACAGCAATACTATACGTAGATAATTGTTTTCAAAGGTCATGTATGATGCAAGTGTAGAATTCCTACCTATATGTTGTTGTTATATATAATGGTATTGATACCTAGTGCCTGTCATGACTTTTGCATGCATCTTTTTCTTTCGCCGCAATGTTTACATTTGGCCTTGTTGATGACGCGCGTGCCGTAAAATTACATCACTGATCTGGGTCAATTGAGAGTTTTAGACTATCAGGTGACGTTTTAGGATTTCTTTAATATAATTATAATTTTTACTCTTAGGGAGTGAATTTCAGCAAAATTTGTATCGGAATATTTCATAAGAAGGTATTTTAAACATGTGTATGCCATTTTAGCAAATATGACATTTTCCCCCCGACCAGCCCCTTTAAGTATTACAGTATTTCTTTATCTTAACTCATTTACCCCTGAAGACACATTTGAACTCTTCTGCTTCAAAGGTTGGAATAGTTCATTATGAAATTTCAGGGGTTAATGAGTTAATCAAAGTCTTTGTTTAAACTGAAGGATTCGACTTTATCTGTACTCTCCTGGTATGACAAAACATACAGCAGTAGGTAAGTAAATTAACACACTCACCCCTAAAAACACATTTGAACTCTTCCAATTCGATGGTTTGGAATAGTTCATTATGAAATTTCAGGGGTGAATGAGTTAACAAGTGTCTTGTGATCAAATAGGTAGCTGGTTACTGAGTGATAGTAACTTAACTAAATTACACATGCTGTATCTTCAGAATCATTAATACTTCAGAAGGTATGAGAAATTTGTTCAGTGGGATCTCATTGTTATAAAGTAGAATATTTTTCCTTCCTTTGGGTAAAGGATGAAATAAAGACCCTGTAATAACTACCCAATAGTACCTAAAAATAAACTCAATTGGCTTGATCATTTTTCAGCATTCAATACTGTTTCTATTTGAACAAACTTTCATATCTAACATAAGCCTTAACCCCTTTTGGAGAATTCTAATTTACTTTGTTCTACTTAAATTTGTAATAGATTTCATGAAATAGGGCATAGAATCATTTTTTAATATAAGAAGTCCATGTGAGAAAGCTTTTGGAAAAAATACATAATGAAAGCTTGTTTTTGGAGGGTTATTCTATTAAACTGAATAAATTGTCTGTATTGCTTTTGTTTTGTTCGTGTTACCAAAAGGCTAACGACTTAAAACTACTTGTTATATCATATCTTTTTTTATTTCAAAATTTTGATAAAAAAAAATGTGTCTATTTCAGGAATGTGAACAAGGCAGATTATGTATGAACCAGCATTTCAATTTTATTTTAAAGTATAACTGGATAGGAGGCTTAAACTGTAACCCTTTCCTTACCTGCTGTTCCATGTACTTTAAATTCAAAAGAGATCATACCACTGGTTAAAAATTATAAAAATTCAATTCAATTTGGACAAGTCCGTTGGGTAGTGGTGTCAGTGACGGGTGCACGGCCCGTTCAACCTAATATCATTTTATGTAAACCATGTGACATTTAATAACATTAGAGACGGCCTTCTAATAACATTTATTTCGGAGCTTAAGAGAAAAAAGTTAACCTGCCACAGCATTAATGAGATTTGCTGGTATTATACCCTGACAAAACTGTATGCTAATTTTGATGCATATTGACTGGCAATTTTAATACCCTCAATTTTGAACCAAATTCTAATTTGTTAAAACCAATAAAAATTAGCATCCAGCATCTCGCATCTTTTAGAGCAGAACTGCGGAACATTTCCTTGTTTTTCACCCTCTATTTTGTAGTCGTTTTATTACGTAAATTATTTGACCTATTTTGCTGGGTTGGAGCTGCAAATGACGTGAAGGATTCTACCTAACCCGGCCCATTAAATTAACAGTTGCAGATCTCCCTGCGAGATGCAGTAATGCCTAGGTGTCGACAGTTATGTACATGCAGACATGTAAACACTTGTGTATCCCAGATACTATATACATCTTTCAGAGCAGTCCGAGCGTAGAAATACGGCATACAGCAAAAATCCACATAAAATGAATGAAACGAAAATATTTTTTCTTAAATTATTTATTGTTCACAAAAAAAAACAAAAAATCTAACCTTTGCAAGAAAATATTTTTTCTTAATAAAAATAAAAAAGACCAAATTTGATAATTTTCAAAAAATAATTACATGATAGATATCATATATTCATTATTGCTGTAAAAATGTTTTAATATTTTTATGTGGGTTTGATATTAATTTTGTTAAACAATGTAAAAAACTACTTGTACATCAATCTCTGATATTTGTGAATAATTATTTTCAAGATTATGTGCTTCACGCCATTCACTAGTGATTTAACTCATTCATCCCTGAAATTTCATAATGAACTATTCCAACCTTTGAATTGGAAGGGCTCAAATGTGTCTTCAGGGGTGAATGAGTAAGAAACAACAGCGGGAATTTATACTGTTTAAATGTGTTGGAAGAATTATTTGATTTGACATAGAATCAATATATATCTTATATAAATATAAGTGATTTCCAGTATTTAATAGGAAGTTAAATTTCAGGAAAGAAAATGGTAGCAGATCAAATTTTACTCAAGTAGATCTTTTCTATCTTAGATTTGAAACCACTTTTTGATTTTTTTACCATTTATTGACTTTGGAATTCTATCTATATTCAAATAATTATAATTTTCTCTAGGTCTTTCTTAAATTAGACAAATGTAAAATTTAAGTCGTAATACAAACTTTAAACTTAAAGATTTAGATACTTTTGTGTAGTTGATTTTTTTGGGTTTATAAATACTTTTTCCCAGATGTGAACAGCAATGTTGTTCAAATAAATTGGAAAAAACAGTATCTAATTTTTTATGTGAAAACATGTTTTAGAACTTAGCAGTAAAAAGTGCCATCATCCATATGGTTTTCAGGCCCTGCTTTCATTTTCATTAAATTTTGAGAGTTTTTAATTCACAACATACATAGCCACATATTTTTATGTTTGTTGTGATTGTATATTTTTGTTTCTGAATGATGAGGTTTAAATTTACCACACAATTACCGGTAGATACACACTTTAACCAAAATAACGTGTGAATATCAGAAATCATATTTTTCCGATAAATATCACTCTAAATGAATGCAGAGGACATCTGCCTTTTAGCTTTCACAGCTAAGTGGGTTCAAATGAGCTAAAAAATGCAACTAACTTTGTTTATATAAAAAAACAGGGTCTGGTAATTGATATATTAAGCAATTAACAACTTTTCATTACCAGTGAACTGTAAACAGTGAAAACACATTCACATGCCAAGAATGTATTCTATATACAGTTTAATATCCTCTAGTATAAACAGTGGTGCTTCATCCCTGATGCGGTGGCTGCAATGGTCTTTATGTAGCTATAAAAGCAGTCAAATTTTTGTATGCATATTTTTTAACACCAGGTGCTTTGAACTATACTCCACCCAGGTCTATCTATAGATTGCATTAGATCATTAGACAGTTGATATAATTCTATTTATTTACTGTTTTTGAATAGGTCACCAGTATGCATAATGGAGAAAGTTTAAGACAATGGATAAAGTGAATTAAAAGGAGAGAGCCTCAAAGGGTTCAAATATATTTTTACATCAATTTTTTTTACTTCATATTATTATATATTTTGTTGCTATATTTTTTTTTTACAAAAGTTTCAGCACTGGCCTGTAATTAAAAGCCTGTATTTATTGGATTTAGTTATTTGTCTCCAATGAAGCTGAATTATAAAACTGTGAGAAAAATATCAATGGTAACTTGTCTCATCTGCTAATTGAGAAATGTCATAACAGAGACATATACGGTTCTCAGAAAGAAACCCCGAACAGGAAACTTTCTTACTCAGATTTTATAAGCTATGAGTCTCTTTACATATCATAGGAAATCAAATCTGCTGTTAATAAGATTTTATGACATTCTATTGCACTGATTATGAAAAAAATGTAATTACCTATTTTTTTTTTTATATTTGTATTAAAACCGAAAACAGGCAGATACCCACGACTGAAAAATGCCTTATCTTTGCAAAATTAAGAAAAAATCAGGAACATTTTCCCAATTTTCATAAAAAAAAATTACATTAATTTCCCAACTCATGCAGGCTATATAGCTACCTAGTTGGCTGAAACTTGTACACATCACAACTATAAAAAAACCTTTGCGATACAGAGATATAATTGTACAAGTCATATAATCAATTAAAACAATTAGTAATATTATGAAAAATTATTTAACTCATTCATTCCTGAAATTTCATAATGAACTATTCCAACCTTTGAATTGGAGGAGTTCAAATGTGTCTTCAGGAGTGAATGAGCTAATACAATACAAATTGAAGATTTTGCAAGGAGCTGCATTATCAAGTGCTTTCTACTGGTCCTATGCCACCTAGCTAAATACCTCCATGTGGATGTGCCTGTGATTATACTGGAGAAGTATAAGAGTTCTGTTTTACAGTGGGCCTAGCTTACAATGGCAACTATTATCTGTTGTGTCATCTCACTTGTTTCTAACAGCATCAACACCGTAGCACCCACTCCGGACCAATTTATACTCGCTCTGGGACGGGTTAATATTGGATTTGTGAATGTACTGTAGGAGAAAAACACTTCCTACTATGCTACAACGACTATGTAGATATTTAACCCAGATATCAACATATAAGGCAGAAATGTTAATCACTCGGCCAAATGTGACCATAGATTAAAACACAAAACAAAATGTTTAGGATATTGCCATGACTCCAGTTTACAGTGATAATCTTTTAATGACCTGTTTATATAGAAATCAATTTTAGGCTAAATAGCTGTTTGTTACTTGGTGGTTTAGCTTGGATAGAATTCCTGTTCATCTGACATGAAGATTTTTTTCAAGGTTCCAACAACTTCACCATAATAATATAAGGACTCTATGTGATTACCAAGAATCTGAGTATAAAATGGTCCCGCTCACCTCGATATAATAATATTTGACAGTGTTTGGACTCTATGTGGTTACCATGAGATTGAGTAAAAACTGTCTGGCTATATAATGTATTTAACCAGATTATTTAACGACGACAAAGACATGTCAATCATTGGCAAGTTTTGGGGTAAAAATCGTAAAAATCTATTATTTTTTCCAGTATAATGTTGTATGTTACCGAGTGTTTTTTCTTCTTAAATTTGCAACAGCCTGCTCCTACATGAATTGGGGAAATGTAGCATTATTTTCATTGAAATTGGGAAGATATTCCGCAATTTTTCTTCATTTTGGGAAAATACAGCATTTTTTATGCTAGGGGGATCAGCCTGTACTAGTTACCTGATGGTCGTCCTTGATTGGTCCTCCCTCCAAGAACTTGGCAGAGAAGTCCAGTGTCTGGTCCTTCTGAGTGACTGGCTTCACTGAGGGAAGATCTTCCACTTCTCCAGGATTGATAACATCAGATCTAGAGTCAACTGTGCTTATTGCCTCACTTAGCTCTCTGGCAGCTATAGATGCACGAGTTATCTCCCCTTGACTGTCAGCTTCTTGAATATCCTCCAGACCCTGATGAGACAAACTTGGTTCTGTGAAACAAATAAAATGTGGTATTAATAGTTAGATTCGGACACAATAAAACAGATTCTACAATTCAACTAACATTTAAAGGGTGGAATCAAAGAAAAGCAGGAGTAGTTTGTGAACACATTCATAAGTGGATTTAATTTGAAAAGATAATCTGTCAAAACTAAATCCAGACACTATACAAACCAAACAGTCATCCAGAAATAAATGCATTTTTGTTGAATTTCAACCTGTCTTATAACTGCTTATTATCAACAAATATTTTAATATCATATTTTTATCATTTAAACAAAATTTTATTGAGGCACTCTAAGGCCTAACTTATCTCAAAGACTTAATGTCATATCTGCCAACTTTCCATATTTAGGAGGGAGAGTCCTGATTTCGGGCCCTAAAACTTAGCATTTTTAATCAGAGAATTTGCTTAACTATATCTATTTTCAAAGATCTGATGGTTTCATAATTATGAAAGAACAGCTCTAAAGGTGCCATTTAAAAGTGTTATTTTCTCTCTAGGGTGTACATACACACATTCTATTGATGCTTTTTATTCTGAAAATGTGTAATCTCCCCCATGAAAATTTCAAAATGTTGGCAAGTACGAAATGTATAAAATTTAGACAGATGTATTTCTGTGATGGTGAGATGATTTTAGTGTCCAAACAAATATACACACAAACCTTCTGATTTTACGCTGGATTTCTGACCAGCAAAACTAGCAACATAATCACTGTCTTCCAATATATCTTCACTGTCCGATACATCCAGCTCTACGAAGTTGTCAAACTGAAATTGTAAAACAAAACTGTTAAAAAATTGTCAAATACAAAGACAATTTACAGTGTTTTAGCTACATATTTCAAAGAAATAACAAATAAAAAACGAATATTTCACTGTTAATAAAGAAAAAGCTGTGTCAGTTACAAATATTTTTACGAATATGGTCGCTTCCGGGTTTTGACATCTGAAATGTTCAGAAAAAAACATTTTCTCTTTATGTCATGCTTTGGTTAATATCATGTTTTCATCTGCCAAATGAGAGATGATATTAAGCGAAATCTACTGTACTACCAAAGCATACCTCAAGAACAGCTGTGAATACTATGCCTATTAGACCTAAAAATTCTTTCTCTCAAATTGTTCGCCACATTATTTGTTCTTATTGGGTAAATGATAAATTCCTTAAAGAATAAAGGTAACCTGTATCACCACAAAACTTCATTTGAAAAGAATGATGCATTAATAAATATTCTTTGAATTGAGGTTAAATACGTATTAAAACTGTTAATAAATATTCTCTGAACTGAGGTAAAATGTCAATGAAGGGGGGTTGGAGATGCAACGTCCCTTATAAGTCAAATACGGTACTGTTCCGACGATTCCTGCCGTGGATACTTCCGTATACAGAGTCCCTTGCTAAAATATCACGAATTAATTCGCTAGGAGTATAGAACAACACGGAGGAATATTCCAATTATGTGAATTTAATGAAGACTGTTGTTTAAATGTTTCGACTCAAAGGCGAGCCGTCATCAGAACCGAGGTAGAATATGTATTAAAACTGTTTAAAGTACCATTTGTAACAAGAGTTGTGCCTAGGTTTCCTTACCTGGACTGTTGACTTTTTAGGTCCCTTGTTGATTCCACTTGTCATGATACTGCTTCTGGTACCAAGATCCAAAACCTGTACATATAAGTCAGAGATCAATATCAAACTACATTTGTAGTTAGTAGGGATGGGCAATCAGTTTCAAATCATAATCGATAATCAGTTTGTAATCAGAAGTAGTAAACAGATCGATGACCGATTGCATAATCAGTTTATAAGTTTTTAGGACTGAGTTGTGAACTATAAATTAGGTTTCATTCTTTTATAATGAATGGATATCAAGCAACTTTTATGCATTTTTATCAATCATATAGTATAAGTGATAACAATATATATTACTTTTTAAGCATACTTTACATGGTAGACATTCAAATACTTCAATTTCAATAATGAACTGATTATATCGATAATGGAATTTGTAATCGATAATTGGAACTGGAAAAGGCAAACCGATCAATTTTCGATTATAATCGAACATCAGCACATCACTAGCAGTTAATTAGGTCCAAGTGTCAGAGACAATTTCAACTAAAATTGAAAAGAAAATACTGTAGATTTATTCTATCTATCCAGAGATACCATTTCACCACTGTAAACTGTAATAGACTTATCCAGATCAATGCATGTTAGAGTTAACTAAAGTTGCATAGGGGTGAAAGGTTTAATAATAGTTTATCTGAACTCTTCTCAAAAGGATATTCTCTTAAAATTTCCCCTATTTTACCTAAATCCACCCTAGAATGACCTGAAATTCACCCATTCAAAATTTTCAGACAGTGACTAAACATTTGATGCTGTGATGATTTAAAAAAAAAAAAAATCATCAGTATTAACTAATGGTATGATGGATCCATTGCAAAGTGAACAGGATACATCAGAAATATCAAAGTTTTACTTATTGAAGATACATCAGAAAATTATTATTAAGTATAATTCCAATGATTTTACCATGATTATTTTATCTTGATTGCTGATCCTTTTGTACGTAAAATTATTCACATGAAAATTCAAAGAAAGACGGTTTTCCCTAAAATCTACATCAACCTCCTTGCAACCATAGGCATAGACTTGTTATTTGAAATTTCAATAAAATCTGCCTGGACAGACTATATTCTTACTTTCAATTTCAATTTTCTTTCAAGGATTTAGTTCAAAATCAAATTTATTCCATTCTCTACAAGAGTTACTTCCCCTGCACTGTGATGACAGACTTACCTCCTCTTCCAGCTCTTCCTCCTCCCCGGGTAACACACCTGGGCAGGTGTTGTCATTATCCTGATCAGGTACACTGCTCTGCTTGTTACCTTCATGTGTACGATTGGACTGTTTCATTTTCTTCAGCATCGCTTCTCGCTTTCTCAGCATATCTGCTTTAACATCATCTGTAGAATACCAGGTACATAGTTAAATAATAAACTGGGTATTTCATTATCAAATAGCATTGTTACATATATGTACTTCATGTACATATTGTACTATAAAAAAAACTGTTTTCCGTGTAACAAATATAGAAAAGTTGAATCAAAGATAAAAAAAAACCTTACAAATACATTGTATCTACAAGTATAGCACAGGCCCACCATCTAATTCATGTACCGTTTTGCATGCTTCTTTCATAATTTTCAGAGAATGTTTGACCAAATAATAGCTTGCCATAAATACAAAATATGCTACATCATTACCTGGTATGTAGAAAATTTTATGAAGACAGGTTTGAGTTTTTTCTTAAAACATACTCATGGCCTTTACGCAAAAAATATTTCCATCAAAACACATGTATATAATATACATTCCAATGCTTTTTTAAAACAGAATTAAATATCAGAATATATTTTATTTTGCATTTTAAACATTTTAAAAAGAAGAAGAAGACAAACACTGTTGAAATTACTATCTCGCTGAAGTTATCAAAAATGCATGTTTTCTGCGTAAACTTTTGTTCTGCCTCTGCTGCCAACCCTGTGGATTTTCTCTGGGAATTCCAGTTTCTTCCAAAATACACACCCCCCCCCTCCTCTGCGCTAATATTCGGGAAAACAAGACTGATCAACATAAGTGTTGAAATCAGTTGTTTCATTATTGTAACAAAATAAGAAAGTTTATATTTAAATACTGAAAAGAAATCTATTACCCTATCTGTATTTCAATTTTCATGATATGTTTGATTAAGTCTATTTGGGTTAACCATTTTTTTTTTCGCTTCACATTTAAAGAAGATTTTATGATTTTTGATGACAATGTCATTCATGCATAAGTTAAATATTTTAGTCTTTTTATAAATATGGTTTAATTAGGAATTAACAACCTTATATAATTACTTCTCATTAACTGATGCCAATGAGATAAAAATCCACACATGTGTACAATATTATTATATACATGTAAATATTCACCTTGTGTAAAATGTGTAAACTGTTTCATGAAGCTATCATAGGGCTGCTCCTCGTTGGCCATGAAGGTGTCGATTGCGTTATACATGGTGGCGTCCATTACGTTGGCGAGGTTTTCCTGGGATGGTGTTGGTGACAGGGAAATGTCAGACATAGCCTGCACCGGTAATAAATTGGTCTACTCTATTATTTAGGCCTTCGTCATCCCTCTAAAGTCATCTGACTGAAAGAAAAAAATAGGTTTCATTTGTTGTGAATGTTTCGACAAGTTATCAATACTCATATTCATGTTTTGTAAGTTATAATATGTGTATACAGTTGACGGGTGATCACAGGTTAAATATACAGTGGGCTGAAAGAATATACGATAGGAGGGTGAGGAACTACTGGGGGATATACTTCTTTAGATGGCGAGGTGAACGTCTTGGGTGGGAGGGGTCATTTTCTGTTGGTTACAATTTTGAAAATTAAATACATATACATGTATACCATTTTCAATCGTAATCAGCACTTTTGAGTTGCATGTGTCAGATGAATTTTAGGGCAATCTGACCATGCAGGTCCAGAACACTCTGATGATTAGTGATCTATATATAGCTGTAAAGACCTTTTATAGCTATATCCACCTATTATAATTTCATGTGTTGAGTTATATATTAAATACAACTTCTGAATTTTAATAAAAAAAATAAAGCAAAGTCACATAAAACTATAGCTTTTACGGTAATGTTGACTACGAAAAGCTGACAGAGCAATATTTTTATTTTTCATAAATGTGAAATTTTCTACTTTTTTTTGACATCAACATTTTTTAAAGAATACTTTCATTTCATATCTTTAGAAATCAAAATAGTGATAATATATTTTTTAAATGCGACTGTGTTGTTTTCTTTTTAAAAAGAAAATTACATAGGCCTATACAAAAAGCTCAAAAGACCTATTTCAGATAGGTCGATACAGCTATTACAGGTCTTTGCAGATTAGAGCCCAATCAACAGAGTGTACTGGACCTGTTGAATGTCACATATGTAAATTTTTAGATGTTATTGTGTAGGATAGTTTTATATTTATCCTTTTACTGACAAGTACTCTCGCATTTACAACGTATAAACCAGAGTTAGGATTGTTTCATGTTTGTCAGTGCTACCTAAATAAAATTAAATAAGTTACACGGAATTATATTAGATTGCTATCTTGGTCTGTGCAGTAGAAGTGTTGTACTGTCTACTGTATACTGTAGCGCAGTGACAAGCAGTTTCTTTGAATCTCTCGGATGGATCGCTATAACATATAATGACGTTTTTGTTGTTAATGAAGTCTTATACTTACTATATTGCGATATAAGTAAATTATAAATAGCATCAGTCATTTAACGTTACTGTCTGTATAAAACGAAGGCCCCACTCCTGCCGCTTGCTAATTCATAACACAGCAGGAATTTTCCAATCATTGATTAGAGTGACCTCCCTTTGGAAAAGACAAATTTAAAGACACGAGTACCAAAATTATGTCATTAAAATCTAACAAACATGAGATTTTTTTCTCAACATCAAGTCACTACTGATATAGTGAAAACAAATGATTATTTTTCAACCTAGTATAGGGAAGTATTGGAAATAAAAATAAAAATAATTCCCAAAAAACAGTAATTTTAAAATTCAATTACAGGTTTGGTATTTTGAAGCATATGCTTATAAAATGAAATTGAAGTTTAAGATTGTTTCCTTTTTGATGAGCGAAAATGTATTTGTAATGTTGATATTTATTTTTATTCTGGGTCATCAAATTAACTTTATACCCCCCCCCCCCCTTTCCTTTTCCTTTTATTTTATTTTTATTTTTTCTTAATGACGATAAAATCCATAAATATAAATTTCTATTAAACAATTTTCCAGTTTATTCAAGTTAGATAATTGTTCATTGTTCATTGTTCATTGTGAAATCAAGTTGAGACAATTTCAAGAAAAAAAAATCCAATGATTGTAAAAAAAGGCAAAATAAACATTTGATTTTAAATTAGAGTAAGTTCTATCTATTTTGTTCAAACGAATGACCTTGAGACACTTTCAAGTTCACGGGGTCGAATGTGTTAAGATATGTAAACGACTTCTTCTCAATAACCAAATGTCCCATGATCTGCACTGTATGAGTTAAACGACGCAATGAATCAGAAATTATCTTAAACAGCTTTTGATGTTGAAATATATGGAATAAACCTAAGGTACCGAGCGCATTTCGCGGAACATCCATGATATTTTTTTATGTTTACGTAACAGGAGAGGAAACACATACGGATAGACCGGGATTTAAACCAGGGACGTCTTAATTATAGACGGACGCTGGCAATCAATACAGTCCAGTTCAATACATATTGCCATGTCCCATAGGTGTTCTGAGTGCGACCGATAGGGACTTCTCTTATAGAAGGACGTAATTTAGCATATATGTTTTTGAAACAAAATCGCTTTATAAAATCGTGTTTGAGTTTGTTATTTCCAGAATATTAAGTAGGTCCTTTTCGACAAGATATTGATATTTTGGAATTTTGAACATTAGTTGATACTAAATTATGATATTTACAAAATGGACCCACGAATCTTCTGTATATCTGTTTCCATTATCAAAGCGTTACACCTCTGTATTAAAACAAATGCTTCACACATCATTGGTTTGAACTCATTTTGAATTCATATAATCTATTTGGTTCCCAATAAAGATAAAATGCATTGAATACTTGAAGTACAAAGGAGGTCAACTTTGACTTGACTCTATACCATGGAAGGCCGGTACGGTGGCCAAATGCGCAATGTTCATTTTCAATGCCACATGCGCAATGCTTATTTTCATATGCCAAATTCTTAATGCTTATTGCTAAATGGGTAATGCGATATTCTAATGCCTAATCTAAAACGTCGAATTATCTTGAATGCCAAGAGAGATACACATATATATACTAAGGAGAAGACATTAAATCATTGTCCTGTGCTGTTTCTTGAAAAAGACATTAGCTAGTCCCATTCTCCATTTTCTTTTAACATGAGGATTTTAATGCGAAAAGTTAATTGTCGAATAATAAATGCGTTTTATGCCAATTGAGCAATACCGATTGCGAAATACAAAAAAATCCGAATATGTCATGCCGATTGCAACAGCTGAAATTCTGATTTCAAAGAAAGGAGAAAAAGGGGTTAGTTGAAGGGTTAGTTGAACTACCTTTTTTTCATGTAACAGCCAAAAGGAAAATATACAAAATGTATCTCTCTTGGCGATTACAATCTGGATTTGACCTATTAGCGAGTGTCCATAATATTAAAGAATTGTGTCTATTAAGAAAATTCATCTATGAGGCAAACAAATTAAGGGCATTATAATGGAATATGATTGTCTTCATTATCTATCTGTACGCTGTCCATGATTTGTGTCTAATATGTATTGTGTACTGATTGGCCAATGGCTTAACGTTCGAATAAAACTTGAAAACTTGGATAGGACATCCGTGGGGAGAGCCTGTCCACTGTCGGTAGATGAAAGTGATCGTATAGTAATTTAGGTTTTCCCCAAAACTACCGACAAACTGACCGGCGGCAATCCCAAAGAATGTCCCGCTGTGTCCCTCTGTATAGTCAGACACAGGTCCGTCAGATGTGGAGGAGTCTCTGAGTTATAAACCAATCAACACCTGGTTTCAAAGTTAACTAACATTTATTTAATAACACACGGCTAATGTACCCGTTCAAACATGGCAAACAATACGTACATTAAAATATATAATGCAAGTGGCCCAAGGGCCTTAGCGTTCACCTGTTATATTATAGGTATTGGCACGGAATTAGATTAGTCCGTGGTATTGGTAGCTCAATTTCATTGTTGAGATGTGATGTGGAAACCAACATGTAAACAAAGTGAAATACATTACTTGTCATGTCACCAAAGAATAAGAACTTTAAGAACTATTCATATAAATCATTTTGCTATTGAGAAATATTATTTTTTTGGTATTTAGCCAATTTTTCTCTTTGGCCAATCCCTGGGATAGGTCAGGATCTTACTTTATGATAGTATTTGATTTCAATTTCATTATGACTATTCCAACCAAGTTTGAATTATTTCTTGCTGAAAATGGACAAGATATAGTCAGAAGTGTTATTTCCCTAAATAAACCAAGGAGAACAGATGACCAAAGGGTAATAAAACGAACAATTTATATAATGCATTTCCATCCATAAAAGAAACTTGAATCTTGTACATCTGACTGCACAGATTTTGTTAAAATATCAGCCATTTTCACGTTTTTAGCCCCATCCATCCGGCCTCTGGGGCAAGGACGGGTCCTATGTTTTCATACTGTCTAATTGCCATCTCATCACAAATATTCCCACAAAGTATTAATAATTTCTTGCCGAGTTTAGACGAAATATACCAAATCTGTTATTTACCTATATAAACTATAGTAAACTTTATCCTCTCACCAAGGGATATGAGAATTTAAAAAATGCACCTAATCTTTGTATCCATGAAGAGTATTTGTAAAACATCTGAGTCTGATGAAGAAGATTTTTTTATTTTCTATTTCCCCCATTGGGGCCCCACCCCTCCAGCCCCCGGGGATGGGCAGGATATCATTTTCTCATACCATCTAATTGCCATATGGCACCATAATCATTCCAACCAAGTTTGAATAATTTCCTGCTGAAAATGGACAAAATATACCCAAAAGTGTTATTTCCTTATATAAACAAAAATCAATTTTACCCCCAAGCGAGAATGGATGACCCGCGGGTAATGAAATTGAAAAATAGATAAAGCCCCTGATGGAATGTTCATCCATGCACAGAATTCGATTGTAGTACATAAAAGTCTAAAGAAGGACACGTTTGAAATATTGGTAAATTTTCCTTTTAGGGCCCCACCCTAACCCCCGGAGATAGGGCAGGAATCCCAATTCTACATTTTAATACCCTTTTCCACCAAAGATGATTCTGACCAAGTTTTGATATATTCCTACTGAAAATTGACAAAATATACCCACAAAATGTTATTTCCTAATATAAACTACTATAGTAAACTTTATCCCCTCCCCAAGGGAGAACGGGTGACCTGGGGGTACTGAAATTTACAATTGAAACAAAGCCCTGATGATCTTTCCATCCATGCAGAGGAAGTGACTAGTTCGTCTGAATCTGGAGAAGAAGTCTTTTTGACCCCCCCCCCCCCCCCCCCCCCCGGGGTTGGGACAGGAATCCCAATTTTTACAATTTTGTAAATCTACCAAGGATGATTCTGATTAGGTCACTTTCAGAGCAAAGCTCAGGTGACCCAATAAGAGAAAAGAAAACCTACAGCGTAGACAAAAGAACGAATGTTTAGTGAACCTATATATATTAGCCCCCACGTACATTGTAAAATAAGGCCTATGGGTAATTGTAACTATTCTCTAACTATAACGGTGAAAACCACCCCCACCCGGAACACTGACATATGTTAAGCTAACCAGCCTTAACCATACCCTAACGTTCCCTGACGTGGGTTTACTGCTCAGCGCCTCGTTGGATGTGTTTTCCCCTTCTGATAATAGTCGGCTTTCCGACCACGTGAGTCCCTGATTTTGCTCGCGCATCCCCTTTTAGACCCAGCCTCCTGGCCCTATGTAACATGTATCGGACACCCATTCTTGTCTTCCTTTCATGTATATTCCCAATTCCTATGCTTTCGATCAAACTGCCTTTTAAGTGTTTTCCTTTCGCGCACCTGCATGGCAAAAGCAAAAGCAAAAAAAAACACCACCCATTTTAAACCAACTGTATCATTTTCGTTCTTCATCAACGAAAACTTGAAATAGCTGACATTCATGCTGATATTCCAACATGTTTAGGATAAGAACAGTATTTTTGCTCCTCAACTGATGAAGCCTGGGCCAAAATGCTTAGTATGTAATACTATAAAATATGAAGTACAGAAACTTAATTGACACATCATTCGGCTTATCATTTACTTTTCACAAACTGATCATGACTGACGATCTCTCTAATCAAAATTCAAGCTGATAGCTTATCAAAACAATAAAATTAATATTTGAAAAAAACCCCAACATAACATGAACCAGAGACATGTAAAGCCACATAGTGTAGTAATACGTCTCTGCATGAACATTAAAACAAATATTAATGTAAAAAATATACCAATTGAGTTTTCGAGGTCACGTGTTCCTAATCATCAAGGGAGTGTACTCGGGCCAATTCTGTTCTTGATATATATCAATGACATGCCAGATGTATTAGAGTGTTCTGTACTACAAAACTATTCGCGGACGATGCCAAAATATCAGCTAATAATTCAACCCCAGAAAATCGAGCGAGACTGCAACAGTGTATTGACAATGTGCCAATGGACAGAAAATTGAATGATGAAACTGAATGTAAAAAAATGCAAGCATATAGAAATTGGACCAAAACCAAAGTCATCCAACTACTCGCTGACGCAATACGGAAAAACCATCGAAATCACTAAGGTGAATAGTGAAAAAGATCTGGGAGTTCACATCGACGAAAAACTTAATTTTTCCATACACGTCCAAAAAGCATCCGGCAAAACAAACCAAATTGCAGGAATAGTATTCAGAAGTTTTACATATATGAGCCCAACCATATTTGCAACACTCTTCAAAGCTCTTATACGACCCCACCTCGAATACGCCTCAACGATATGGTCACCCCTGTATACCAAGGACAAAATTACAATCGAAAAAGTCCAGCGAAGAGCAACGAAAAAAGTACCAACATTAACTGACAAATCATACGCTGAACGTCTAAGAATACTCGGTCTACCAACCCTGGAATACAGGAGGGAGGGAGCAGACATGGTCAAAGTGTACAGAATCCTTAATAACATCGACAAACTTGACAAGGATAAACTATTCCAACACTGTGAATACAAATCTACAAGGGAGCACTCCAAGAAGCTGTTTAAAAGGCCCCACAAAAAAATGATCACAGGAAAATTCTTTAGCAACCGCATTATTAAACCATGGAACTCGTTGCCTGAGGAAGTGGTCTCATCACCGAGCCTAAACTGCTTCAAGGAAAGACTAAACAAGTTCTGGAGAAATCACCCGAGGAAATTCAACCCCTCATTTTGGTAATAAGACTGGATCTACCATTCCAATACCATACTAAACATCAAGTGTTATAATATTTAAGTGAACTGGCAATAATTACCACCACTTTTACAAGATCAGATAATGTTCAATATAGGTTCGTAGCGGTTGGGGCGATAAAGAATTATGGGGCGATATGGTTGTCATACTTGGGACGTGAGCAATGTGTTGGGCGAAACGGTTTTGGGGCGAAACGTCTGTAATTCCAAAATTATCTATGTATAATATGAACAAAATAAAACTGACCACAGACTTAAATGGATATTCAATCTACATCCGTGATTTTTAGAAAGCATAATTTTTATCGGAGTGGCTATTGTATAGGCTATAGCGACTATTCATAATATCACGTGCAAGTATCTTTAATTCTGCAAAACAAAAGCGAGTTGTCTCTCTTCGTTCATGACGTTCCGGTGTTTGAAATAGAGGCGCGACGAACATGGCGGACGACACACTTGAAAGTACCTACGCTTCTCAACATCTGCACTGCTTGCATGCTTTAATAATTCATATATGGCATTATACCTAACGGTTACATTTTGTTTTTAGTGTTATATTTTATTACATAGCCATACTTCTTCGTGAACTGTGTTTAAATCGCTGCTAGAAAGGAAAAACTATGTTGGAAGTGGGAGGGTCGGGGGGATGTTTGTTTTCATTTGGGTTTGGGCCAAGATCGATTTCATTGTTTTTCCGTTTTAGTATTTGTGGTCGCCAAATAGCCTGAATATATTCCTTTTAAGCAAAACATAAACATTGGGTTGTTTTTATTTATAGAATCCCACGCGCACATTCAATGAAAATTAATTTATTACTCGTGTTTTACTTTCTCCACTGGAAGGTCAACTAAATATTACCCTCGTTTTGTGCACTATTCTAATGTGGACCATATCGTTTCAATTGTTTAGCTTTTGGAACTGTGATTCTTAAAACTATACATGTGTGCTTTTGTTTTAGTTGGTTCATCAGCTGAGGCTTTGGTCAGCCTAAAAGAAGGTAATTATCAGAATACATCATCAGTTTACATGAATCCAAAATCATAACTGATAAGTTTTGCTTACATTGGCCTTACAGGGAATTCGAACCTTGTTTGATTGTTAGTCTTGCCACAAAGTCTGGGCTCTGATCAGTTAATGACCAAGGCCGCTCTTGTTGATCAATGTTTCAAGCAGTTGGCTGATTGGACAAGTGTTGTTAGTTTTATGAAATATGGACAGATTTATTGATCTTATGACGCTTCTGGTGAGCTTGACAAAGCCTTTCAAGGCCTGCATTAACATTTACAGGTACTGGTTTGTCATGCTTTACAACTGAAACATATTGCATTGAAAAATAGACAAACTGATTTGTCCAAGTAAACCAACAATCTCCAAGTTATAGGGCTTGAGTAAACTCCATTTTCATGGAATCTACACAATTTGTGCAGTATACTTGCCAACTTTTTGAAATTTTCATTGGGGAGATTACGCATAATAAGATTTAAAAGCATAAATGAAATGTGTGTATCTACACACAAGGGATAAAATAACATTGTTGAATGGCATCTTTTGAGTTGTTCTTTCAGATGAAATCATCCAATCTTAGAAAGTAGGACTAGTTTAGCAAATTCACCGGTTGAAAATGCTCAGTTCTAGGGTCCAAAATAGAGAGTCTCCCTCCAAAATAGGGAGAGTTGGCAAGTATGTTTGTGTACGACTCATTTGATTTCAACAATTAGTTATCTCTTCAAAATCACCACTGAAGGAAGTTTATTATGATACATAATTCTTGATCAATATTCTTACAAATTTCTGTTCATACTAAAACATAATTAACCCTATTGCAGGGAAGGGAACAACATACAGATCACCGCCTCGTAGCAGAAATGTAAGTACAGACATTATGTGTTAGCTGAGGTCATTTTGGACCAAAGTAAAAAAGATTTTTTTAGAAAATGGTTTTGTCGATAACTGTACCGGAAATACTTAATACCAAACTGCTGTAAATGTGTAACTCATGACTTGATTCAGTTTCACCTTAAAAAAAAATAGTGGACGGTGTAAATTGTCCATTGACGTAAGTTTATCATGGTGTCCATATTCCGTCTTTGTGTATTGCAGAGTTATCTTCTCTTGGGAGCAGGTATTGATTGTTACGTCACTTGTTTGTGAGAATAACGTCATCAATTTTTGAGAAAAAGACGTAATTTTCTCACACAGACCAATGACGTAACAATCAATCCCTGCTCCAAAGAGAAGATAACTCTGCAATACACAAAGACGGAATATGTTCCTGAAGTCAATAGGAAATTAACTGATGATATTTATGCGTAGCTGTAGAAAATAAACAAAGTAGCCAGAGAGAAATTAGTGGTTAAAAAAAATCCCTAAGAATACAATCCAAAATACCAAATTAGTGTAGCTATATTTTCATACCTTTTACTTAATTCATATATGCATATGTAGCATTTTATTTTGTACCTGCATGTATATCCAATTTGAATGGCATGTTAACCATGGATAAAACTTGATTCATAAAAAATGTATTTTGTAATCAGGACAATAATATGTATACATGGCAACGCTTGTTATGTGGATTTTTTTCCCTGTTGTTTTAGCCACCGAGAATAAGAAAAAAGAACCAGAAGTTTTACAACGACGACGAAGATACATCATACTCGCCCTCCAAGTCCCCGCGCCGGACAAGCAGGGCAGCTACCACTCTGAGAGTCAGAAATGTGAGAAACTGAACTATTAACCACCTATACATATTTAGACTTGTGCTGTATTTTAAAGAGTTGTTGGCACTTTGGAACAGGAATGTTTCAGGAAAATAATTGTTTGTACAATTCATGTACAACATATTTGCATATTGGCAGTAACAATAAATATAATCATTAATATAAAAAGAAAATAATCAAAAAAGTAAGATTAGCTGTGATACAAATGTATGGTGGAAATTTGTAAAATACATTTTTACTGACCATAAAAGTAAACTCATGATAGACAAAATGACATTCTCTGCATGAATGCAACTGCAAAAATGGTTGGTAAATCCCAAATGAGCATGTATATATGCAACATGTAGTCACAATTCATTTGTTAAAGTTACCTTTTGTGAGACAGTTACAGCGATCAATACATTTTGGGAAAAGAAAGATAGATTGCTCATGTCTGTTCAGATTAGTTGCAATTGTGGCATTGGCTAATTTGAGTATTTGCTTCCACAAAATTAAGTAAACTATATCATGTAAAAGTCTTGCAATCATCAAGAATGATGTCCAGTGTTGAAATCAAATTCGACAACAAAGCAGTATGACATCATTGTGGTATGTTTTTGTGAAGAGTTTTTCTCTAGCAAAAACTCTTTATATTTGAGTAAAAAAAGTGAAATATATATATATATATATATAGAAAATGTTAAGGTGTCTGTTTAACTCATTCACCCCTGAAGACACATTTGCACTCTTCTAATTCAATGTTTGGAATAGTTCATAATAAAATTTCAGGGGTGAATGAGTTAATAACATCACTGAATCCCTCATGTGGCAGAATCATGGTCATGAATGCTTTGCATACATGTTTGCATAGAATGGCCCCTCTTAATTTTGATATTGACTCAAAATTGATTAAATTGGCCCACTGCTCTCAGATTCCAGGATTTTCCTTGTTGGAGTTCTGTCAGTATGCAACAGGCAACTGACAAATATCATTTATATAATTTGGTCAGATTATCATCTGGAGTCAGTGATTTTTCATAGTCTCAGAAAGACAAAAATTTAGTGAAGAATAGGATGTGGTATCGAAAAATGGTCACTACAAATTTCTTCATTCTATTATATGGCCATAGAAACTTTCAAGATTATAAATGGCATTTCATCATAATTTTAACGTGATCTTATTGAACAAAGAAATGTTTTATATAATTTTAGAAGAGAGGACACTCTGACGATTCCACGGGTGAAAACCACAATGTATGGCAAGAGATCATTTAGATTTGAGGCGGCCCGGGTGTGGAACAGTCTGCCAATGGAGTACAGAAAGACAGAGGACTACCAAACTTTTCGCAGACTGCTCCGCACCTGGGATGGCCAACTATGCTCTTGTGCAATTTGCACCAACTCATAGTGATGTTCACCTCAGGAATTTATCTTTTGCAGGGTTCAAATTTAACCAGATTTTCTACTTGCATTTTTTCGCAAGCAGTATTTTTTCTTACTTGCTAAATGAAAGAAAAAAACTTGCAATTTGCATTTTTCCAACTTTATTAGACATGTTAACTTAGAATTAAATTCTAAAACAACACAGTATTAACTGACATTTTAAATTATGGTCATTGGGATGTATACATGACGCAAACCTTGCTGTGAAAGGATGCTGGCCTGCTCAGGCTATTCTAAGATATAGCATAGAAACTGCATCTTAGTTTCTTGCTCCATATGGTAGAGTATTTGGGTCTTTTCTGTCTTTGTCCCGACAACCACCATCTTGTCACAGCAGGTTTTGGGTCATACTCTCTAAGGGCAACATCAGCAACTTTGATTCGCATCAAAAATTTTGCGCTATAAATAATAACTAAAAATAGATTACCGAAAAACATCATGCATGCGTGGTAAACGTCATCATTATTTGTGCAGGTACTTCCTAACGGACATGCACATGGGACATGTATTGATTGTAAACTTCTGTTAATGACAAAAGCTGAATCATTCGTTCGGCGAATGACAAGAATGCGCTTAAATGACCGCTAGTTGTCAAAAAAAAATGCTGGTGTCTGAAATCTCTACTCGCATTTTGCAATTTGCACTCGCTTTTCGCGAGTATGCGAGCTTAAATTCGAACCCTGTTTTGTGATATTATTTCTACTTTATATGTGATATGCTATATGTAATGTGTAAAATTGTGTCACTCTTCCTTTTTAGTATTCTGTGATTTTGTTGTTAAATTACTTAATAAGTGTATGCCTATGTTTGTCGCAAGAATAGCACTACAGTGCAAATGTTATTTTGTTTGTAATATGCATCAGTAAATAAAATTTCTTGACTATTGATTATATAATGTGAGCTAAATGGGGGGGGGGGAAACAAAAGGTATCTGCATTATTGTTGTTGTTTCAGGTAATATCTTGTTTATGTTACAAATTCATTTTTATTTGCGTTCAGACAAAGATTCTCCTCAGTACCTCAGATAAGAAGTCTGCCCAATCCATCGGAGTGCGCCTCAGAAATCTCCTCAAGCTTCCAAAGGCTCACAAATGGGTGTGTTACGAGTGGTTCTACTCCAACCTGGATATGTAAGTATAATATAAACTTTATTTGTTTTACAACAGTTATGAAACACATTATTTCAACTTTTATTAATCACTCTTGTTGGCTCGGATTTTAGCGCAGGGGGGGGGTTCTTAGTGTGGGAGGAAACCGGAGTACCCGGAGAAAACCCACTTGGTCGGGCGGGTGATCACCTACCTTTTCACGTCCGATTGGGGGATCAAACTCTGTCCGCCTTGGTGAAAGGCAAGTGCGCTATCCACTGTGCCACCCAACCACCCTATATGAGAGTTCTTATTGAATCATTTATAATAAAACTGAAACCTGCCTGTCTCCCTCTCATTTCTTTAAAAATGGTGTTTCCTTGGCTTAACAAGGTTGCTGCTCTTGTAAATATAGGAGATTATAAACTGGTAATTTGCTTAGCAGTGTAATTACTCACTCAAGAGGGGGGCTGCGGTGGCCAAGTGGTTAATTAGCTGTCTGACATTCTGCTACCACTAGCCCTCCACCACTGCGTCCCAGGTTCGAGACCTACGTGGGGCAGTTGCCATAGATGCATCTTAGTTAGTACATCTCAACCCATGGATCAAGTGCTGGATGCGGCCTACCTTTTATGGTTCATTGACTTTGTCAGCATCTCCATCAACATTAAGTTTTTGCATTTAAGTTAGTTTCTCTGATATGTGCATTGATGGTCAAAGCGGGGCACAGGCGAGACATATCAATCCGAATGGCTTGTTGTATGTCTGCATCTTGCTATAAAATTCAGACATGGCAGCTTAAATGGCATTTGTGTGTATTTTTGTTTTTCAGACCTTTATTTCTGGGTGAGAATGACTTCTGCATTTGTGTCAAAGAAACTTTCCCACAGCTGAAAGCAAAGAAAATTCGTCGTGTGGAGTGGAACAAGATTCGCAGATTGATGGGCAAGCCAAGAAGGTGTTTATTATAGATCAGTTTGAGTTTCATCTAGATAGTAAACATGTGAATAGAATCAAAACTGCTGTAAAAGAAATTATAATGTTTGTACTCCTCATTTGTCCTGCATGAAGTTATAAAAATTATATGTAAACTTTTCTGTAAAAAAATCTTTACATGTTCAAAAAAATCTGGAAGATAATTATTTGTGCAGGTGAAATTATTATACCAACAGCTGCATGAAGTGTGTGTGTGTGGGGGGGGGGGGGTATTACAATTCCATCCTGTCTGTCTGTGTGTCTTTCCTTTACGCTCCTTGTCATCACACTAGCAGCTACATTTCTGAACAGATTATTGAAACTCCACATGTTTCTGTGCCCTGGACACACATACATAAAATGTCATTGTTATTAAAAATAGCATTTCACCATCACTCTAATTGTCGTCACTGAGGCAGCCATATTTCTTGTCACAGACAGACTTTGATAAAATTTTGAAAGGTATGTTGACCTTTGACATACATTGAACAAATTTTAATATGGGTGTGATCAGTCGTATATGAACTAAGAAGGTCGCTGATACTAAAAATAGATCATTTTTACCATCACACTCCTTGTCCTCACAAGGACTCAATAGCATTTCTGCACACATTTTGATGATATGTTGACCTTCAGCATTCATTACAAAGGTTTAAATATGAAAGAGATAGCAAAGGTCATGGCATCCACGATACCCCAGGAGTTACGCTCACCTTCGCTCTCTGCACCCCTGGAATATGACATAGCAAAATTAAAGGCACACAGCTAGATCCAGTGTTGGGTTCTTTGGGCCATGCTCACTTTCTCTTGTATCTCAATGCAGTTCTTTGTGTTTGATTTATATAAGTGTTGGTGAATGTTTTTAAATCCACATGTGTCCGTTTTATTTTGGTGAATCCTTTTACCAGATGAAACATTAGTCGTAATAGAGTTGGCTCCAGAGAATTTTATCCACTGTTCGTTTATCTGCCAGGTGTTCCCCGGCATTCTTTGCAGAAGAGAGGGCAGCACTGGAGCAGAGGAGAAACAAAATCAGACTCCTTCAACAGCGCAAGCTATCAGAATTGAACAGCTTTAAGGATCTTCCCGATGAGATACCCACACATCTTGTCATAGGAACCAAAGTAACCGGTGGGTGTGGGGAGATCTATTGTCTATTGTAATATAATATATTATCTGATAAAGCTGAAGCCATATATCTGATAGATGATTAACATCAGCTCATCATCCAAAATGGTGTTCATTATGATCCATATTGTTTCCTTTTTAGATATGGATTACATTCTGGTTGAAATACTGCCCTTTATACTCTTGACTTGATTATGAAAAATACTGTGAAATCTTACGCCATCTTTTCACAGACTTTGCCACTATTCTTTGATGTCATTATTCTATTTTACTATTGTAGACATCTCTCTATATATACAGTTTGTTGTTGTTTGTCGCTAGGCAGGACTTTTTGTACTTAGGGTATCTTATGAAAATTGTATGTTGTTCTGATGAAGGCCCACCCAATGGGCCGAAACATGTGAACTGGATTTAATTTGATGAGACTCCCCATTTTCCTTTGTAAGTGTAACATGTGTCACATGTCAGTACAGGTACATGGCTGAAACCTAGACAGACCTACTCCATGTTCTGTAACATCTACATACAAATTTCTTAAAATCAAGATGGTTGGACCTACCTCTGGTACTTAGATGTACTTAATGTAGTGGTAACAACATTGTGGTGATTTTCATGCAAATTTGAAAAGGCTAAATCATGATAACTGCTGAATATATAATCCCTGTATTAATGTTATATAAGATAGATGCTATGTTAACTCATTCACCCCTGAAATTCCATAATGAACTATTCCAACCTTTTAAATTGGAAAAGTTCAAATGTGTCTTCAGGGGTGAATGAGTTAACATTTGATACATACTGTACATTGCAAGTGATTTTATTGTTAAGCCTGTAGCTCCAAGTTCTTGTCAAAATTAAGTTCTCGAAATTCCATCTAAATACAAGTTAAAAAACATGTGAATATTTGCTATTTTCAGCACGCTTAAGGAAGCCCCAAGATGGTTTGTTCACTGGTACGGTAGATGCCCTAGATACAGTAAACAACAGCTACCGTGTGACGTTCGACAGACCTGGTCTCGGCATCCATTCAATACCAGACTACGAAGTGCTAGTAAGAAGATTTTTCAATTATTTCATCAAAAAATTGTTTTGTTGTTTAAATAAATGAGATTATTTTATATTTATGGATAAGTGCCGTTGATTTGATAATGACTTATGGAATTCACAAAATAATTCATGAGAAAAAATAAATTTGTTTTGTATTTGTCATCTACTTTTTTTTTTAATATTGAATATACAGATTTTGATGTTGAGGTGAACTGCTGTTCAAATACAGAAGATTATATTGAGATTTCGATGTCAGTTATAATTTTACAATATGAATGATCCCGTACCACTGTTAAAAGCTGTAACTATGCTCTGGGTATTTGTTTACGGCATGATAATTGTACTGTGACTCGAACCAAGTGAGCTGGAGTAACTCCTGTTGATTTAGGAATAACTAGGATAATTGTTGGGTTTATATGGTAGACATCGCAAAAAATACACCTTGTTCATGTCTTATAAAAACAACAGAATTTTTTCGCAAATGCAATATTGTGGTGTATTTTCATTGCCGAGCAATTTCAACCAATCAGTAGTTAGAATTACAAATACTGCCCAAAACATTACACTGTTTGAAATCATCAAATCAGTTTATGTGCTGTCGTCTTCTTTTAGCTTCCATGATATAACCTGTAAAAATTCAATAATTGGGAGAATAACCAATACTTAATTATACTGATATGTTTGGTGTGAATGCTTGTTTATATATCGGGCCGCACTGGCTAAGTGGTCAAGGCATCTGACATTCTGTCACAGCTAGCCCTCCACCACTGGGTCGCGGGTTCGAGACCTATGTGGAGCAGTTGCCAGGTACTGGGTCGGTGGCCTTTTCTACGGGAACTCCAGCTTTCCTCCACCTCCAAAACCTGGCACATCCTTAAATGACAATAGCTGTTAAAAGGACATAAAACACACACACAAAAAAAGAAGTTTATATATCGGTTTAATTATCCATTTTGTCTTTCCTTACAGAGCAATGACGAAATTGAGACAATCCCTCTGACAGCTTTCCAGCAGAAACATCGCCCGAGACAGGCCATCTTCTCACCACCCAGATTTATCCCTAGTCTAGGATCTCCAAATCCTCACCTTGTAAGTACCCCCAGTCCTATATCCTTATAAGTAAGAATCATAACAGCTGATTACATTATTGACCCTTTCACCCCTCTATAACTTTAGTAGACTCTACCATGCATTGATCTGGATGAATCCATTATGGTCTATAGTGGTAAAATGGTTAACAGACTTTTATGAATTTTTACATCAATGTTCATCACTGACTATACGTAACAAGAACCTTTTCCATTTTGACCTTATATTTAGCAGAGCAGGGGGTACTGGCCATGGCCATGGTTAACCTTTTTCTTTACAGTTTCAAATTATTTTTGGAAATGTGGCATTGTACAAGATCTGAAAAAAAGAAACAGGAAACTGCTAGTAGTTGAACTTTGGGCTATTTCAAAAATAGATAGATCGATATACAGTAAAACCTCATATTTGTCCAGAGAACTTTTGGCATTTTTAAAAGGGTTTGGCGATAAATTGAGGGAAATAAATAAAGGAATTCTTAAGAAAACTAGAAAAAAATACATTGATATATGTTGGCAGAAAAGGGATGCTAATTTGTGTCACTCTCCACCCACTTTTACCTTTTTATTCTGTTGCCCACTTAAGAGATGTCTTTATTTGTAAACATAGGACAATAGTGTTTGGTCTCACAGCGGAATGTTGTCAAAAGATATGTATACCCGTTGGTCTTGAGTTGTATCTGATTATTCTGTTGAAAAAATTACAAAAACTCGGAATTGATTTGATTTTTTGATAAGGATTTTTTTCCCACCAAATACCTTTCTGTTCCAAACCCAATTGAGTTCATATCTGGGTCAACAAGAGTGATTGATATATAGTTAAAATAACTTGTTTCATAAGTGCTGTAAAAGAAATAAAGTTTATAATATATCCAAACACAAATTTCCAGGTAAACAAGTCCAATCACTATAATCCCATTTTAATACACAAATTACTAAAATACAATATTTCATTTGTTGATTTAACAGGACAATGACCCATTGTTAAGTGGTTCACCATTCAAAGGTCGGCTGATGAGCTTGGAAGGGGGAACGTATGGCGGCTTTCCCATCAAGTTCCTGGTACAAGTTGTAAGTATCCTTCTCCAACAGATGGATGTGTACCTTGTTGGGCTTCATCAAGTGGTGCTTTGGGAAGAACTTAACTCTGAAAGGATTTTTCTGAATTGATCATATGAGAGAATTGATAGGCAGTTTTAGGGATATTTGTAGAATTAATAATATGAGAGAGATGAAAGGTAGTTTCAGGACTGTTCAAGAATTCATTATATTGCAGGGGTGCAACAGTTTCAGGAACAACTTCTATAATATGAGAGGGATTGAAAGTTATTTTAGGACGGTTGAAAATATCATAATATGGGAGGGGTGGAAGGTACTTTTGAGACTATTCTAACTTCTATAATATGATGGAAGACTATTTTAGGACTGTTCAAAATATTATAATATGGGAGGGGTGGAAGGTAATTTTGGGACTATTCCAACTTCTATAATATGAGAGGGATGAAAAGTAATTTTAGGACTGTTCAAAATATTACAATATGAGAGGGGTGGAATGTAGATTTAGGACTATTCCAGAACTCGTCATGTTGTATTGGACAGGACAAACAGATTTATTGATGTTCCATTGCCTACAAATTTTGAATTGTGATTTAAGAGAAGTATGAAAACAAGGTTACCTTACTGCTCCTGTTATAGTTTTAATTACCTTTTACCCTCTGGACACAGTCCCTACCTGTTGGTGTCATCCCCCCACTACTCTAGACATGAAGACTGATGTAGTCTGTTGTCTTAGCCTTTTGCTATACTTTCGTACATTTTCAACTCTGTATGGTCTTTCCTTTCATATAAAAACTGTTGTATAATTACCAATAAAATATCTTTAGATTTTTCACACCTGTTACACTGATAGTGACTACACCTGTTATTATCCTACAGGTATTGTCACACTTAGCCCCCTGGTGTGTTTACCTTGTTGCAACATAATTACAATTTGATGATCTGCCTTTTGTGAGGACTAATTGTAATAATGCCTGAGGGAGAACTTATAAGGCAATAAAGAAATGTGTTTTAATTGCTGAGATACTTAAGAAAACATTACTCTGTAATGCCAGGAACAGTCATTATGTAACAGGTAACAGGAAGGCAGGTAGGTATCAAATACTGTGGAGTATTTGAGCAGTACTTTGTAGTACTATAAAGTATGTCATACAACAACCTGTAATTAGTAGGTGGTGGATATTTCAATCATTTCTGTTTATTTTATTACAGACGAAACTTTCCAAGATCCTTATGATTAAGAAAGACTGGATCAAACAGTTAAAAACTATGAACACAGAGGCAGAAAAGATGGTAAGAATATAAAACATAATTGATCTGTCTATTTAAATTTGAGACTATCTTTTTTTTCGCTATTTCTTTCAAGTATATTTGTGCCTTGTCATGCCATGTAGGGTGTGAATATAAATTATAGTGCTATCATTATATATGCATAATCAGTCTTCAATGAAATCACTATACCTCCATCACTGTACATACATCAATACACAAGTACAGTGTATTGAAAAGGAGTTTGCTTTTAAGTGTTGTGCATGTGATGTCAAGGTCACTGTTATACTATAAATGGTAAATCTTACCACTGTATAGTTTTCTTTTTCTTCTACTTAGTAAGATGAAATTTTACACAAGTATTTAGTACACAAGGACCTCAAACAAGTTGGAGTTTACGGGTTGCAAATCCAATGAAGGTTTATTACAACAAGCTTAAATTGCTTTTCATTAAATAACAAAACCATTACTATACTCTACTCTAATTTCATTTTTCATTTGTATGAAACTGTATATTTGACTGATAAGAGGACATAAATTCCCAGCTACTAACTTTAATTTCTGTGTTGACAGAAGTCCTTCCTAGAACCCATTTCTCCAGAGTTCCAGAGGAAGTACGCCAATGCGGTACTACAGCTGGAGGACCTCAACAGAGAGCTCAACGAATGTCTGATAGGGGTACAACAGTACTGTCAGGAGGTAAAACCCGCCACACAAATTCATTACAATGACTTGTTTAACAATAAATATTTTCAAAAATATTATGTTCATATTTATTTTACTTTTTCACCACTGTAGACCATAATGGACTCATCCATATCAATGTGTGGCAGAGTCTACTAAAGTTACATAGGGGTGAAAGGGTTAATAGCATTACATACATGTTGCAGTATTTATTGGCTATAGTCTGTCTGTTGTCAAATGAACAGGTCATGAGACCACAGAAAACAGTTGGTTATGAGGTCAAAAGTGTTGTAGTTCCTTATGATGAAAACAAAAAACAGTTAAAGATGAAACAGCTAAATACTTAAGTTAATGGTATTGATCACTTCATTGTTCATATGGTGCCTATGTCTAGACACTAAAGCTAATAAAATTGTTTGGTGTCCGACTATTGTAAAGCAATACCACTGCTATATACTGGCTGTACTTTTACATGCAGATTGCCCCAGAGCAGGGCCTTACTCCCCTCGACCAGCCATCAGAGATCAGGACCAAGTGTGATGACGAGGCAGAGGAAATGGTTTCAAGGATAAGTGGGGTATGTCAAGGTCATAATAAGGACACTAGGTCCAGGTCTTATTTTGATAATGGGGGTTTTATGCTGACTTGCAGTAATGATGATCAAGGTAATGAATTGGTTTGAGTGAAATACTGTCTACAATAACTGGGTCACAGGTTCGAGGCCTACATGGGTCAGTCGCTAGGTACTGGTCGTAGGTTGGTGTTTTTTTCTCCAGGTACTCCAGTTATCCACCACTACCAAAACCTGGCACATCCTTAAATGACTATAGCTGTTAATAGGATGTGAAAAACAGACAAACCAAATTGAGGGAAATATAGGTATGATGGTTGGTAAAACAGATCTGGTCGAAGTCTTACTTGAAGTAATATATAGGAAGGTAAAGACCTGATACTGGACAGGTGACGTCAAATACATTTGTCTAGGCCATTGTTTCAGTTTATATCTTGAAACAAGGCTAGGGTAGAGCCAACACCGTGGTTTACTTAATGGTGAAATAATTTGGTCCTTTGCTCCTCGTCTGGATACCCGAAAGTATGCAGGGGATTGAGTAAATGGGTACAATAGATTCAATCACAACGGGCGAAGGAGCAAGTAGTTCTTGTAGTTTAGTAGAAGTGTTGACCGCTTTCGCCCCTACAGTGGGCTTCTTCAGAACAAATTATAGGATATTTCTACCCCTGAAGTACTAAAATTGAGGGCACATACTATTGTTCTACATATATATATATATGTATAGTGACATTATTAACAATGGCAGAAATTGTGATGTCATAAACAATAGGTTGTATTGTGACGTCATCAATAGTTAGTACAAGATAGATAACTCTGTTAAGCCAATATCAATACATATCTAAAAGGACATCAGTATAAATGTTGTCTAGCGGGACATAATAACAGTCAGAACAAGATAGATAACTCTGTTAAGCCAATATCAATACATATCTAAAAGGACATCAGTATAAATGTTGCCTAACGGGACATAATAATAGTAAGAGAATGTAAACTCTTTACATACTGAATTGTCCGTTGGTAGTTTGTAGTTAAAAGAGTTTCATCCAGCTGGTAAATACACTGGTCTTATAATAACAGATTTTTCAATATTCATTGTCAAGTAAATATCTTATTAACATTGTTTGGGTGGCTTCAGGATTTTCTCAATTAAATCAGTGCGTGTNTTAATAACAGGTGAGCGATGCAGGCCCATTGGGCCTCTTGTTTACTAATAGGTTTTGATGGTAGCCATAGCGGGTGACTGATTTAGCAAAAATCTTTACACTGGCAAGGATTAACTGAAGTACTTGAAACCTAACTAATATGCTTGTCTTTGGCACCTCAGATTTACAAAAATCCTTTTATTCTTATGACAAATTATACCACAGTTGTTACCATTATTGTCTATGATTAACTTTGTAGAAATTTTTGTTGTTTTAAAATGTATTGTTGACATATTTTCATAAACATGAAATTTACATCACTATTACAGACCATGTTCCACAATCGGAAGAAGAATCCCAAAGTCATGGACCTAATCGCCGGCCTAACCTCTCTTATGTTACAAGTGCGGGTATGTCTTCTTCTCATTTCTTCATTATACCGGAAACTTTAAACTTAATTACAAGACCTGTTGAATTATTCATTTGGTAAAATTCTGGTCATGTGTTTATTTCTGGTTAGCTGGTATAGTTTTTCCACATATCCATAATAATATTGTGTTATCCTGGAGTAAAATTAGCGACAAGGAATCAGCCGTCAAATAAATTATTTTTTGTTACAAAACATTTTATTGAAGCTAATGGAGGTTAGCAGTTAGTTGTTTTACTTCTATACAAATACAGTAAGATTTTCCTATGCATTTGTACTTGATTATAAAGAACTGGCCTATAGCTATGAAGTATGATTTTCAACTTCATGTATTACTGGTCAGCATACCTGGTAAAAACAAAAATAATCAATATTAGTACAGTTTTCAGATTCACTTCAAAATTGTGACAACTCACCTTGAAATCACAGTTTATAGCTGTTCATTAGTCATGTTCAAATGAATGTTAAGCAAAAATCGGTTCTGAAAGAATTTCACAATAAATTTGATTAATTGAATTTCAAAATTTTTAAAATAGGAAACACTCTGAACTGCCATTTTCACATTGAATTGACAGTGATGTAAAAATTGAAAGAGATTTTCACTATGTTCAAACCATTTTTATTTTTTTCTGCAGACGTTTTCGGAAACAGAGTTGAACTCATTTGAATTCAAGTCTTTACAGGACACATTACAAGATGTAAAGAGCCATCTAGATGGGAACAGCTTGAAGTAAGTTAAACAGTGATACATACATGTTCGTTTGTTTCCTAAGTGACAATGACTGCTTGTCGTCCTTAAAGTGTCTGGGGCTACTCTTACAGTCCATATCGAAATAAAACCATTGTGGGGTTTTGGGATCACAGAAAATGCCTAAATGCCCTCCTCCCTCTATATTTAATTTTGGAACAGTCTTGAAGAAACTTATTAAAATTCAATGTACATTTCCTTACAATGAACCATTTTAAGTCTCAAGTGACCTATTGCGATCGCCTTTTGTCTGTCGTCGTCCGTCGTGTGTCCGTTAACAATTTACATTTTCGGTTTAGTCCCAAGCTCCCAGGGGCCTGAGGGGCGGGGCCAAAAAGGGTCAAATTGACTAAAGTTTCAAAGATCTTCTTCTCAAGACCCAGATATGGTAGAATCAAATACTCTTCATAGATGGAAGGGTCTTAAAGTGCTTTACCAAAATTTTGAATTTCTTGACCCTGGGGTTTCACGTTTCCCCCTGGGGGAGGGGTAAACTTTACTATAGTTTATATAGGGAAATCACATTTTGGAGTAACATTTGTTTAATTTCCATTGAAAGTAATTCAATTTGGGTTAGCATTATCAGTATTAGGTAGCAGTTTGATAGTATGCACCTATGAGCCCTGACTGACCCCCAGGGGCTAATGGGTGGGGCCAAAAAAGGTTGATTTGACTGAAATTTCAAAAATCTTCTTCTCAAGACCCAGATATGGTAGAATCAAATACTCTTCATAGATGGAAGGGTCTTAAGGTGCTCTACCAAAATT